TTCTTTTTAGCAGCAGCATAGAGCTTAAATACTAGCTGCTGCATAATGAGAAAAGAAATATGGTTATGCATTTAAAGAAAAAGAACAGCTGCTGCCACCAGAAGCTGAATTCCCAACAACAGAAAATTAGCAAAACATCTCAACGATGATCAGAGTTTGTTAATCCAATCTATTCTGGCCATGTGAGTTCCTCTCTGATGAGAGAGAACAGTTTGCCATTAGAACAACATTGTACTGTTTTTTTCCTACAGCCTAAAACCTTTTTACTTCCAGGGCAGGTAAAAAACACAGTGGTTTGAAGCAGAGACGTAACAGGGTAGCTCTGCTCTCCATGGGGTGGCAGCAGCTGCTGGCAGCAGTGTGACTAGCTATGGACGCGGCTGTTTTCATGCCCCCACCCACTGAAATGATGCCTGGGAACTACTGCCCTAGTCTTCTACTGACTCATTTACATTACTGGTGAGAAGTGTCGAGTCTTTGAGGAGCTGAGCTACCTCAGGTTCCTTTGGAACTGGATTTATGAGGTGAAGGAGGCACGTACGCGTAACAGTTTGAACAGAGAATGAATTTATTGACTTACATCCCTTGGTTAACGGAGACGCAGGTTGTATTTGAACTTGACAACATAGCGTAACTGTTACAACGGCTTGCAAGCTGAAATGGTCAATAGTGGGGTGGGATTTTACGCCAAGGGGGAGCGGTGGCAGGAGACAGCGGCGAGTGGAAAGAGCAACGGTTGATCAGGCCGGTGCATACAACAGCTAGTCAGTTGTCCGTGTCAGCTCTCCAAGCTTCTCCCCGAGCCTCAATGGGAGGAGGCCTTTATACAGGGAGTGACGCGGTTTAGCCAATCATGTTCGGCCGTTCGGCCCTCATGTCATTACCTTATTTGGCACAGACACCCTTACTGAGGCAAGTGCCCCTCTGAGGTAACCGTCTCTATGAGGTTACTATGGGGGTCAGGGAGGTGCATGAGGCACAGAGCCAGCTTTTCAGCATGTCAAGAAGGAAGAGCAAATCTGCTTTTCATCAGTAAGTTAAGAACCAATCTACCCAGTCCTTTCAACATAATTCAAAGACCACCTGAGTACTCAGGAGTGTAGGCTGTAACTGTGCTGGTCTAAGAACAAAGGCAGACAAGCTTCTTTGGCTAAATGTGATGGTCTAATAAAAGTTATCAGATTTACCCAAAGAACCCCATCTGCCTGAGTACTGCAGGTGTCATTCTGTCACCCGTGCTCCCCTGAACTGGTACACGGGGATCAAGTATTCCTACTGGAACAGACTGCGCTGCTCCTGGACACTCTTTGTTACAAACTGACTCAAGGTATTTGGTCACCATTCTGTTGTAGGTGAATCCAGTAGGGGTGTGCAAAATGGGCCCTATTCAATTCGGATTCGGCCCAAATCAGGGACGGTGATTCGAATCACTGCCAAGCATGCTGGGGAGCCCCCCATGCTTCTGTGGGACCCTCCATGCACCCCAGCACCACAGTATTCAGAGCCCCTGCTACCTAGAGGTATGTAGAAAAAACATTTAAAGCTGTCTCTATGTCTGAGTCTTTCCAAATCAATTCGGAGGGTTCCAATTTGATTCAGAGAGATTATAGGGTCCTCTGGTCCAATTTGGATTTGGAAATTCAGCTATCGAACTGGGCCGAATCTCCACCGAATCGAATCAGGGACCAAAGCTTCACGTAGCCCTAGAATCCAGTCACTGGACCAAATATTAAAGGTGTGTGTAGGGGTATAATTACCTTAGGCATAATCCAGGGCTCAGACTTTTTGTCTAAATTCCTTCCTTTAGATGAAATGTGATACATAATATGGCTCTGAAGTAGCAATTTAAAAAGATAGGGAGATTATATGAACTTAAAGTAAGTGTATACAAAACACAATTTGATTTTGTGTAAACTGTATTGTAATTGCAATCCTATACTCTATATGGTGTCTGTGCATTCAGCTGAAATGCATATAACTATTGAAGAAAAATGTAACACAGACAAAGGAACTTTTTGTGCATACGTGAATAAAATAAAAGATCCTGGGCTATATAATGTGATTCTGCATTTCTATACAGAGCGAGTCATTTTGCACCAGGCACTGACACATCACAGCATTACTATGCATTCTAGAGTAACTTGTCTGCTAAAGCTATTCTTTAGTACATGCACTGCACAACAAAAAGTACTTTGTATTCCAAAACCTTTAGGACTTCCCTGACAAATCTCCACTGTGTTCTCCTAAAGATTACACACTGGTGCTTACACATGAATTTATAAATTAACAAAGTAAAAGTCATCATTTATAGTCATGTCTCAAAAAGAAAGTGTCTAGATAAAATTTCAAATCTAGCAAATCTGGCATATCTTCAACAGGAAACATACTCAAGCACGTGCAAACTTTCCCTTCATAAAGTTGTACTCACAGCTACCCAGGACTCCATGGACACAAGAAGAGATCAAGGCCTGGTCCTAAAGAGGAGGAATTTGCTATCAATTGTACAGTGGAATTAGCATTAGATTTGCTATGAAATCCTGACTCCTTTGAAGTCAATGGCAGACCTCTCATGGACATCAACAGGAATGCTTATAATGGGCAGAGTAGCCGGATGTTCTGGACAAGGGCAGTGACACACAGTTCATTACTGGCTCCCCATAGTCATAACATAGGCATCATTTGCAAATTGAAGGTATTGTTTCTGGCAACCCTTTAAAATCTTCTTGCCTGTGAAACTGAACATAACCTACAGGAGCCTATCAAAGGCACGCACTTGCTTCTCAAATAAATTATACATGTCTAACACCTGTTTAGAATTGTAGCCATCCTGAGGAAGAAACTGGACTTTTCATACAGACACACAGGCGATGTCCACACATGCACGGAGGTTTGTTTCCCCAGGGACAAGAAGTAGCAGCACACCTTGTGCCACTGCTGCTTGTCCCCAGGGAATGCTCGTGCCACATGCCCTCTGGTGCATGGCAGGTTACCCAAGGTGGGGTACAGAAAGCTGGGGCCAGCACAGTTGCTGGCCCCAGCAGCTTTACCTGGGGTCCTGGGGGAGCTGCAGCTGCAACAATCCTGCAGTCGCGAGCCCGGCCATCAGTCAGACCGTAGCTCTGGCAGGCCAAACTCCGGTTTTGGGAGGTGTGTGCTGCTGCCACATGTGCCACCGTGCTTTTTTAAGGTGGATTTTTTTTACCCTGGAATCTCAAACCACCCCCCACGCTACAATGTAGCAGCACACGGAAAGCCTGTATGTGCAAAGTGTGGTGCTGCAGGCAGGTCTGTGGTGCCATATACTGCATGTCCGTGCTTGTTTGGACATGGTCATAAAGTCGCATAGAAAATTTAAGTTGGAAGGGACCTCAGGCGGTCATCTAGTCAAACCCCCTGCTCAAAGCAGGACCAGGCCCAACTAGATCATCTCAGCCAGGGTTCTATTGAGCCAGGCCTTAAAAACCTCCAGGGATGCAGATTCCACCACCTCTCTGGGTAACCTGCTCCAGTGCTTCACCACGCTCCTAGTGAGAGAGGTTTTCCTCATATCTAACCTAAACCTCCCTTGTTGCACCTTGAGCCCACTGCTCCTTGTTCTGTCATCTGCCACCACTGAGAACAGCCCAGCTCCATCCTCTTTTGAACCCCCCTTCACATAGCTGAAGATTGCTATCAAATCCCCCCTCAGTCTTCTCTTCTGCAAACTAAATAAGCCCAGTTCCCTCAGCCTTTCCTCATAAGTCATGTTCCCCAGCCCCCTCATTATTTTTGTTGCCCTCTGCTGGACCCTCTCCAACTTGTCCACATCCTTTCTGTAGTGGGAGGCCCAAAACTCCAGATGTGGCTCCACCAATGCAGAATAGAAGAGAATAATCATTTCCCTTGATCTGCTGGCAACACTCTTTACTAATGCAACCCAGTATGCTGTTAGCCTTCTTGGCAACAAAGACTGTTGACTCACATCCAGCTCATTGTCCACTGTAACCCTCAGATCCTTTTCTGCAGAGCTGCTGCTTAGCCAGTTGGTCCCAAGCCTGTAGCAGTACATGGGATTTTCCTGTCCTAAGTGCAGGACTTTGCACTTGTCCTTGTTGAACCTCATGAAATTTCTTTTGGCCCAATTCTCCAATTTTATCTAGCTCACTCTGAATCCTAGCCCTGCCCTCCAGCACATCTACTATTCCCCCCAGCTTGGTGTCATCCTCAAAGGTTGTTTAAAGTCATACTGGTCTGCTGGTGCAAAGTTAGTGCAGCAAGCTAGTGGTAAATGCCCCCAGTAAAGGAAACCCTTGGTATAGTAACCAGAGTAGCTCCTATACCCTTTTCTTCCCAGTTACTGGTTACAGCAAAGTGATAGTGCATGCCCACAGCTCCTATACACACAAAGCAGATCACCTGCTCCCAGAATCAGACTGGGCTCAGTATCCAGGTTTCAAGGTTGTTTAAACTCATATTCTCCCTAACACTCCTCAGCGGCAGTCCATGTTCCTCCCCTTAGAAGTTTTGATGTTGTAAATATGAACAATGACTAGGATACATCTTTTTGTTTTATTAAGTTTTTTTTTATCTCAACTAAAAACCTTTACTTCCAGTTAGAAGAGAAAACACCTGCTCCATTTTTTACTAAAAGTTAAAGTGAATGAATGGGTTCTGATTTCTAATAACTAACACACACACACACACGAAGCTTACCATCTAATAGAGTAAAATCTCGTCAGTCATACCAGAAAGGACTTATGAATGTTAGTGTTTCAATTAACAATAGGTTGAATTAACTAGGTTGTTAACAAACAGGTATCTTGAATCCATAAGCAGCCTTTTGTTTCTCTGAAACACAACCCCTGCCCCCACCCCAACTTTTATTCTCTTTCCCAGTGCTAAAGACTTTTCACCCTGTTCTGTGGACTTAAGAGTATCAGATACTTCAAGTTAACCGTTAACTCTGGGGTCCTTGTGAACACTGAGCTCTTTTGAGGTTCAGTCATCATCACCAAAGCAGAAATATGAACAGAAAGAAGCAGCACGTCTAGGTGGAGCTGAGGAAATGGAGGGAGTGAGAGAGAAAGCAAACACATGGGCAGGCCAAGGATGAATACCTGTTGTGAAGGGAAAAGAGTTGGGAAGTAAAATGGTCCTAGACTTTTCCTATTTCTGATTCAAATGTGTTGTTTAAGGGTAGAACAATTGCCCAATGCTTCCTCATCTAGAAGAGTTAGATTTATAAAAGAGATTATTATGTGTGGAGCAGGTTAAACTACGATTTATTACATTATTTTCTTTAACTGACTACTTAAACAAGGACTGATACAAAAATTCACTTGGCAAAAAATGCTATTGCAGTTCTAATTCACTATTTGGCTTCCAATTGTTTTAGATTAAACATTGAAACTGCACTTTGTTGTCATAAACCAGGCACACCATTCCTCTGACACCCCTTTTACAGAACAGTGTCTTTTAAAGAACTGTGAAGGTAGTTTGGCAATTAAACAAAAATCTTCAAAATTCAAGGTAAATACTTCACTTCACGTGCATAGAGCTCTTTTCCCTGCCCCAGTAAATACAAGGACTCTTCATACTATCCCTGTAACCTCTCCAACTGCTGCTTGATCTCAGCTCTCACTGCATTAGAGAAGCAGTCAATTTAAAGCTTGTCGTCATGAACACGAATAAGCAATCACTGGAGTGATCCCTAATGAGTTTCATTTTCCCCTAAGAACATCCAAAGAGTGTGGCCTGCTTTTCTCCTTCAGTGCAAGGAGTATCTAAGAAGCACTTGTCTTCATTACACACGTTGGTTGGAAGGTGGCCAAGCTGTTTCTCTAGAGTTGAGCTGGGTACCATGCATGGTGTTTTAACATACACTCATTTGTTGGAAGGGAAGGGATTTACCTGCATCTTGGAGTGTTTACTGGGCAGCACTGGTTGTATTGGTCAGCAGATTCTTCTGATTAAGGAGATTCATGAAGGTGCACAGTAGGTCATTGTGAGTGGGTGTCGGTTCCCCGCCCCTCTTCTCTTCACGACTCACCTGCCACAACAGTCCAACATTGGTCTTCCGAGTTTCTGCTCACTGAGTCACTGGTTGCACAGCTGTCTCCCTGCTGTCCTCTGCTTCCTCTCCAGTGCTCAGAGGGCGAATGTAAGATCCCCGGCTCCACCTTTTATGCATGGGGTAGCCATAATTACCCTTATCTATCCCCTGTGTGCTAACCCCCCATGGCTGTGCTCAGGCTCTCCCCCTTTATCGGTGTTCTGGGTATTACTTAGTAACAGGGCTTCTACTCAAGCCCCTGTTACTGTCATATCCAGGAAGTTGCAGTGTACTAGCTGGGGTAGAAGAGGATACGCTGTATGAAATGTGCTTGTCTCTGGCCTTAGCGAGAATATCCTTTGTAATTTATAAATTCAAGTTACTTGGTTAACCTTAAGTCTCTGCAGCTCTATTCCCACTCTTCTCATCTCATTCTGTGCCCCCCACCTCGGTCTTCCCCAGCACCTCCTGGTTAACCTCCTCCCCGCGCTGGCCAAGCTGGCTGTCTACTTTACCAGGAAGGAGGCTCTGACTGGCAGGGTCCCTGGGGACAGCAGGGCCATTTTCCTGGGTTTCCTCTATTCCCATTTCCAAGCAGAGCACCACTGGGCAGTAGCAGAAATAGGGCCTTTGAGAGTCAGTGGGTGCTGTCTCGGATGCTCTGCTCTGTGTCCTCGAATGGTGCACTTTTTTTTTTTTTTTTAAACCTTTAGCCCACCTGCACGTCCCTTTCGTCATTTTTTGTCCCCCAAAATCAACTGCTGCTGTGATCTCTGGAGCCTTACGTGGTGCACTGCCTGCCGGGTGAGTAGCCCCTCCCCTCAACTCGCCCGCCATGACTTTGATGTTATGCTATCAAGAGAGGGGGTTCAATGGAGATCTTCCTGGGAGGGCCTCCTGGCAAATGGCGGTACTCACGATCTTTTTGGCACAATGTTCCATGGGGCTCCTCCTCCCCTACACCCCGTCCACTCACCAACTGGAAGCGTGTCCGTACAATGGTGGTTTCGGCCCTGCAGGCTTTCCCGCAGCTTGCTTCAGATGGGGTCCCATGTCTGCGTCTGCTCAGTTGGCTCTTGTCCCACCGGCCTCAATGCAGAGCCTTCCGTCTCTATCTCTTTGAATTTTTCCTTTTTTCCTTCAGAAGAAACATTCTCCTGGGGAGGAGAGGGATGTAGAGCTGCCTCCTTTCCCCCAGCCTCCTACAGAGGGCTCAAATGCCTCCCCTGCTCTGCCTCCTACAGGGAGCTTAAACGCTTCTCCCTGTCTGCCTTCCACAGGGAGCTGAAGGGCTTCCCCTGCTCTGCCTCCTACAGGGAGCTTAAACGCTTCTCCCTGTCTGCCTTCCACAGGGAGCTGAAGGGCTTCCCCTGCTCTGCCTCCTACAGGGAGCCAAAGTGTTTCCCCTGCTCTGCCTCCAGCAGGGGACTCAAAGGTTTTCCCTGCTCTGCCTGCTGGTGATGTGCCGGCTGTGCCATTCCTCTCCCACGCAGGAGCCTCAGCACATCTAGTGTGCTGCCCACCAGCGCTCTCTCTCTCTGGCTCCTCTCCCACCTGGGTTCTGGCAGGGCTTTAAAATTTTCCCATGGTGGCCGGTATGGCTGCCACAATTGGTCCAGCTGTTCCCCGTGCAGGAAACAGCTAATTAAACAGCTGGCGTAACGGTGGCTCGCACGGCTGTGGCCACAGTCTCGGCTCCTGCTCTGGCTGCCCACCAGGAGGTAAGTTATCCCCACAGAGGGTCTGTTTCCAGGGTTTGGGGCCCACGGGGATTACCCTCTCCCCTTTGGGAGCCTGTGGGGGCATCTCGCCGCCTCAGCTGCTCTTCTTCTCTCACTACCCCGCTAAGCGGTGCCCCTCAATGATGTAGTCGGCATAGGCCCACCTACCCAAAGGCAACAAATAGGCCCCCTCTCAGTCATTCCTGCTCCTTCATGACTGGGTAGGTGTTCACAGGACAGCTCTAAATCAGCTCCTTCCTCATTCATCTCGACTCGCCTCCTGTTGAGTTTGTATGCGAGGCCACTAGGTGAGACTATGAAGATCTGGAGTGAGGTGCCATCAGTAGGCCTGTGCAAAGCAGCTAGGATTCACTTTTGATTCGGGCTGATTCGGGAGACAGTGATTCAATTTGGTGGTTCGAATCACTGTCCCGAATCGATTCGGCCAAATCCAATTCAGATATTTGGCTGTCAAATCTCTAAATCACCCAGGTCCAGCCCCCTTCCGCTCTCCCAGCCCCAGCAATGGCTGCCCCACCTGCTCTCGCTCCTGGCACTTTGAAACCTTCCTCTCCCCACTCACCAGGTGCTGCCAGGTGGGGGGCAATCCCTACTGCCCCATATTGCATGGGGGGGCTCTGCACGAGCCCTCTGAGCCCCACCCCACCGCTGTACCATCCCCCACCATGGCTGCCCTACCCACTCCAGCTCCAGCCCTTTAAGGGGAAAAAAAATCCAAAACCTTGCACTCACTGTTCCTGCCCGGCAGGGGGCAATCCCCATTG